CTGCAAGCGATTTCAGGGCAGCCACTGCCTTTCCGTGCTGTGCTCGGCCAGGGTGCACAACACCCAGGTCTGCCTCCAGCACGAGCTCGCCACCAGTGCCCGCAGCTCCAGGAGTCCAGCGGACACAGAGCTAAGCACACGAGTGGCTCCTGGACGTACTCCTACATAAATTGTCACCTAAGATTAACAGGCAGAGAGCATGCTGTATTTAAAAAGAAAAAAAAAAACCAACAAAAACGCCCTCAGCTGACACAACGGGCCCCACCCTTGGCAACGCAGAAGACCAGCTGCCTGGGGGCCTGGAGACTGCTTCTGGACCGTTCTGCAGCTTGGTCTGATGGACAGGAGATACGAGATGGAACCAAGTTATTAACTGCAATGCCAGATTTTTTTAAAGCCTGCCATGTGACTCTAAGCAATCTTAAATAATTACTTCCTTCAGTTTTGTTCTCCTATCCTTTGTCTACTTACAGCATAAACTCACTGGGCAAGGACTGCCTGTCTCTGAACGGCTGCAGCACCGAGCAGTCTCACCCACAGATGCACCCCGTGCTTTACAGTGCAACTTTGAGAAGAGCTATCCCTTCCACAACCTGACTTCCATTTATTCATTTTTAATCCAAATATACATGTTACAAAGCACACCACACACATATATTGTTTTTCATTGAATTAAATCTCATACAGCTTTTCAAAATAGTTCTATATTACATGGCCTTCAAGTGATTTTAACGGCATCCCTCTTGAGGTCCCTTCACACCAATATCCTGTTCCAATGCGCAGTTTCTTTTTTAATGCAGTATAACCAGTTCCCATTAATTTTGTCACAGATTAGCTTTTCCTTACATCCGCCTACTAAAAGTGTAAATATAAGAGCACAACTGTTCTACACCATGCAGTGCCACTTTATTTCATCTCCCTGTACCCAAAACACCAAACAAGTGATTTCACTACATAGATGTGTACGTACAGCTGTACCCTCACCCGGCACCACTGGGTGGTCAGCAGCGCTCTGCCTGAGCCCAGCAGGGCAAGGATCTACACCGGTTTTTCACAGCTCAGAAAACCCAAACAAAAGAGATGGGAAAAGCTCTGGGCAAGGGTAGAAGAACCTGACAAGAAAGAGCCACTAAAGAGCTCAAAGGTCTTCTCTCTCTCCCTAGTCCTTAGGGAAAAGATTTTAAGGTTCTTTCAACTTCCAGAAGGTGCATCTCTAAGGTATTCCTGAAGAGCAAATGGACCTTTCTCTGAGTGGCGCCATCAGACAGATTTTGTCAGTGCATTGCGGGCTTTGAATGGAACAACGTACAGAGATCACGGGCATCCTTTCCAGATTTGAAACTACAGTCATGGGTAATACAGCAGCTGCTTCACATGCCTTCAAGTATTTTAAGAATTTTAAGTATCCAGGTATTTTTCAATCGCCTTCCTAATGCCAAGGAGATAGTTAATTCAATGACATTTTCACAGACAGAATACTGTCTTGATTTTTACTGCCTACCATCAAATATTGATTGCAGAACTCTGTTTATGGTATGTAAATTATTTCTATTCAGTGTGGAGTTCACCATAGCCTTTGGGTTACGGAGCACAAATGTTCAACACTAAAAACTTCAGGGTTACCAAATTACTAATTCAAGAGATGATTAGACTATTTCTGATGTTTAGGTAACAACCTACCACTGAAAATAAGCATTTTGCAGGAATCGAAAACAGACTGACTTTGTCTACAAAATAGTCAAGTGTGATCTTCGTGGTAACAGTTCATTAAAGTACGTGCATGTATAATCGTATTCAAGAGGCCCACTTACACACACAACCTACAGACGTTTTTTGAAGAAGCCTGTTTTAGTTTACTGCACAGCATTCGGTACCTAATGTGCACGGAGACCAACACAGTACCACTAAAGAAAATACCTATTTACAGGGTCTCTAGATTTCATATCGAGAATAAAGATTTGAAAGAATATCACTCATTCTGTATTAAAAAAAAAAACCAAACAAAAGAAATGGGATGTGAAGCCTTAATTTTATACTAGGGTTTACAAATACAGCTGCTGATGATTAAAGCTCTTTGGAGCCTTTGACACTAAGCGTAACAGGAAAATTGGACTTTCAAATGAGTGAAAGCTGCAACAAGCAGGCTATTGTGCAACCAACTTGAAGATTACAAGCAAAAACTGAATTTTTGAGATTGGAGAAGTTACATTTAACCTTTTAGGAAGAAAGGGGACAGGACATCAGCATCCTCTGCAAACTAATTGAAGACTAACATCACACGAACCACAAAGTATTCAGTCATCTTTCTAAGAAAATAAAGAGAGCTTGGCAGTACAATAGTCCTCAGAGAAATGCCAGGACAGAAACCTCTGTTGTCTTTGTTGATTTAACCACTGATGTGTCCAATACCTTAGTGTTTTGTAAAGAAAGAACATAAATACGTGTTCCAGGATCTTTCGTGTTGGAAAGAAGCCACTTGAAGCAATCCAACAAAAATAAGAAAAGCTAACTTCAACTCACAAATACCGCTCTTGTGCCATTTTATGCCCCTCCATGGGCAGAACTATGGCTTAAGCAGGGATGGCTCCTGGATTAAAGAAAAATAGGCATCGCCAGCAGAAGGAGGTTCTCCGCACACACAGCTGTGAGCCGTACCAGACACCTTTCTCCCCCGTTCCCCGCCTCTCCTCACTGCC